AGAGGTGTATCTAATTTCTGGTTATAATCTAGTCATAATCTGACAAGCTGTTGGAACAGGAGTTAGCACTGTTTGGCATTTTTTTGTGAAAAGAAAAAAGACTTTCACAAATTGTCTTTAACTTAGAATCTCTGTGCACTGTTTTTATCCTTCTCTCTCTGCACACACACACACACACACACACACACCTTTTATTTTCTCCAGCCTCTGCCACAGTGTATAATGCCCTATTGAGACATGTAGGCGTGATGTGTAAACCGGATTAGCAGTATGAAAGACAGACACACAATAAGCTGGAATTGTTTTACTTCCCTTTCATTTCTCATGCCTATATCTCTAATAAATTTGTTGCTCCAGCAGTGGGTCAAAGGGATCACGTTGCTCGGCTTCCTTTTCATGCAAGTCCCAATGACAGAGATCATTGAAATGAATGGGGTGCCTTCTGCCAAATGCAAAGCTTGATATAGATATATTAGATGGGGAGAAAGAGAGGAGGAGAGAGGGAGAGAGGAAGGGAGGGAGAAGGAGAGAGGGAGACTCAGTCTACATCTCTATCAGAGCAGAGCAATGTGGGCTAAGATATTTAGATAAGTGGGAATCAATGCAAGGACCAATGCTGTATGTTTTCTTTCAAGTTCATTGTAGCTCTGCACATTCTCTCTGCCACCCGTAACACTCTCAGCAAGAGAATACCAGTAGCTTTTGGCAGTGCATAAAATCTAACTTCCCTCTCAAGCCTTAAGCCTGAAGTTATTATCAATGTGGAGATTTCTGGAACCTTCTCAGGATAGCTTCTCTCTGCCACCCTCCCCACCCCCAGGTCTCTGAGCTTTAAAAAAAAAAAAAAAAAAAAAAAAGCCAGTGCTCCCGGGTTTGTGCTGGAGCCCTCTCATTCACTCCTTTGTGGAGTTGGGAGCAGCTTCCCGTTAAAGGAGATCAGGAGTAATTAGCAGCATTATTTTGACAAGTTGGCGAGAGCTGTTCCCTTTCCTCCAGCCTGGGAGTGGGGAGGGGGGAGGAAGAAGGGGAGGAAGCAGAAGGTGGAAGGCAGAGAGGGGAGGGAGTCAAGCCCAGTGGTTTTTCTATTTTGTGGCTGCTGAGAATCTTTCTTCCCCCCTCCTCCCCAAAACTTCTGAAATTCATTTTCTACCACCACCTTTTAAGTAAATACAAGAGCTGCCAATGAGGAAATAATAAGGTGTTCTTAGGGAGCCAAGAAAATGTTGGTGGATGGTGGCAAACTGGCTGGGGTTGAGTCAAGACTCAACTCTTCACCAAGGTAGCTGCTTTGGCCTGCTCAGGCCCTGGCCCACCACTCACATCCTTAGCCTAGGCGCCCCCAACCATCAATAGAGCATCTCATCCCATCTCCAATCCCTCTGCCCCACCTCCCCCTCCACACAATAATACTATGGGGGCAAGGTGACATTTGCAACTCTTTGCATTTCTGGAAGGTAGTTTTAAAACATTTTGTCAGCAGGTAAAAGTATAAGTGACCCAAGAGTCAATTTCCAAGAATATACTTGGCCCCTTTATAATCTGCAAAATTTAGCCAATTCATGTTGGGTTTTATAGACCCATTTGGTTTTGACCTAAGAAAGGTCCAATTTCACTGTGGTTTTTCATAACTCCATCTAGTCTGGCCCCCACCGTTGCCTATGGCTGGATCACCCCGAGCACAGAAGACAAATGTTTTATCTCAGTGTCATCTCATCGGTCAGATAATCTGATGTCATTTTTGAGATGTGTGTGGCATGGCTACGAATATTCCAAGTATCAGAACAGAGAGGGGAAGGAGACATGAGGGAATCCAGAGAGTTTGAGGAGTCAGTTTTGAAAACTCCAATGAGGAATCTCCAATCATGATAGGGAGACAAACATGACAATGTATGCATTGGAGAGGGAAGCAGACCGCCGATGCCTAGTTTCACAGAGGCCCACAACACCTGCGGGTGGATAAGGCACCCAGGCTCTCCCACTGGCTTGCTGACTCTCCAGGGGACCACCCCCCTCCAGGGCAGAGAGGGCCCAGAAGGGCCGGTCCTCTCTGCCCACACCTCAGTAGGCCTGGCTCCTCCTGGGAGCCAGCTCTCAGGTCTGTGGAATCCTTGTGGTTAGCTGAAGTTAACACAGCCGGTGTGGCGCTGCGGCCCCCGGCACAGGGTATGCATATTAAAGCCGACACTGCTTACAAATGTAAATAAGGCCAGATTGATTAGGAACAACATCATGGCCGGGAATGTCGCACTGGCCTGCATCAGCAATGAGGCAAATTGGGGGCAGCCTCAGCCTTGGCCACCCAAGTCGAGGAGCCTTTTACACTGGCTCCTCTTCCCTTTCTTAAAACGTTACAGAAACAAGGCCAATTAGATCCTCAAAGTAATTCATCTCTGCGTATGAAAAAAAGCAGACCACAGGGGAAGCGGCGGGTGGCGGCTGGGAAGATTAAGACAGCGCTTGTTAGAGCTGAGACTGCGGGTTGCGTCCTGGAACCAGTGGGTAGAATGTACAGGCCGGGGCCGCCGTCTGAGCTGCTGAGAAGTTAACCTATCAAACAGCGGGCGAGGGGGCTCAGCGCGCCGAAAACCTCGGAGATCAATGTGCAAAACGTTTAGGAATTAAGTCCAAGGGAGGGAAACGAGCCTGGGTGCGAGAGGCTTTGCCTTGGAAATGCTGCTCCCTGGAGCAGCCGCCAGGAGGGGAGGGAGTGCGGCTGGCTGCGGGCAGGGATGCGGAACCGGTCAGTGGACCTCGCTTGGGACTGCACCCTAGAATTCCATAACGCAAGAGCCTATGCGGAAATCCCTGGGAGAAATCGCCCTGCGTTCCTGGTCCAAACCGTTGTAAAGATGTTTGGAACAACAAACATGGCAGCGCATTCCGTGGTGCGCGGTGACCTTGCCATCTCGCAAGCCTCGAAGGCAATTTCCAGTCGCAAGCAAGAAGCGGGGTGACTCACTGAAAAGCTAGAACAATCGACCCCTTGGCCTGCCTTGCGCCGTCTAGCAAACGTAACTCGCCGATCGCGATTCAAGTCGCGGCACTCTGGCTGCGCGGCGCCTGCCGGCCCTCCCTTCTGGTGCACACAGCAGAGCCGCCGGCAAAATCACGTGCTGCCTAGGAGCTGGGAGTTTTGAATTTCCGCGCTGGCTGGGGGCTCAGGTCCTCCTCCCGAGCCCCCAGCACCCCCCGGACGCGTCCGGGCTCTTTGTCCTTCCGTTCCCCCCGGGACGATGCGCCCCGACACCGGTGCCGCGCGCGTGTCTGGCCGGCCCGGGATTCAGGGCCTCCCAGGGGAGGAAGGTGGCGAGGCTGGGCCTGGAGCGGGAGAGCCGGAGGAAGAGGAAGGGGTCAGAGAGGAAGGAGCCAGGAGACGGGGAGAGGGAGGGACCGCCCGAGAGGAAGGAAGAGGGCGGGCGGGCTGGCGGCCGCGGCCCCCTGCGGGAGCCGCGTGCACCGCCCCGGTGGCCGGCGCGCCCCGCTGCAGCCCCTCGCGGGCCCGAGCTGCCGGCGCGGGGCTGCTCCTGGGCTGGGGCCCGTGCGCGCTGCCATTGGCCGGCGGCGGGGAGGCCGCGCGGGCATTGGGCGACGCCAGGGGGCCGGTCCGCCTCCAGGAATGTACTACGACGCGCCCGGCACGTCCGTCCGCACCGGCGGGGCGCGCGCCCCTTCTGGACTGCAGGGAGGCCCGTGCGGCCGGCCGGTCAGGCGCCCGCCCGACGCGCCCACCTCGCTACCTGCTCGGCCCGGGCTGCGCGGGCGCGGGGAGTCCCCGGGCGCGAGGCGCGCGCGCACGCGGACGCGGCCCGGAGCGCGCGCGGGCGGGCGAGCGGGCGCGGGGAGCCCTCCCCGACCCGGGTCACGTGGCTGCGCGGGCTCCGCCCCCTCCCCCGCTCCTCCCCCGTTCCCTCCATCTGGGTTTCTTTCTTTCCTTCCTTTCTTTCTTCTTTTTTTTTCAATGAACACACACCGTGTGCATCTTAAAGTCACACTGCCCCATTTCACGGCTTCAGTCGGCTGCTCGCCACCGTGGGGCCCTGTGCAATACAACCCCCTTTAAAAAAAAAGAGGGGAGGAATAAATACTAAAAATGAGGCCGAATCGGGGGTTTGTGGGTCTGCCACGGGGAGGCACTTTATGACTTGCAAGCGTCAGAGAAACGCATTCCACTTTTTCCCCCCTGAAATAAATAGCGTGGAGCCGTGCGGACGGCGGGCGGAGTCTCCTGCCCGAGGACCCCCTCCAGAAGCCGCGTGTGCGCTCCCGCAGCGGCGAGCGGGTCCCGGGACGCGCTCGTGGCACCAGGCTCAGTGCGGGAACGAGTGTTGGCGGTCCGCGCGCGCTTTGTTTCGAATGAAGCCGACGTCAAGGTGTTTTGTGTGCTCGCTTACGTCACGCTGTTAGGAAACGCAAACAGCGCGCCTACCTATTTGTGCAAATAGTAGAGGTTCATTGAAAAGGGGGAGCCGAAGCGAACCCTGACCGGCCAGGGAGACCCTCTCTCGAGGAACCAATGTCGTTTCGCTGGGCTGTGGAAGGGGTCCTGTTGTTTCTCCTTTATTTCTGTCACATTAAAGATTCCATACAAACGCCTCTGCCTCCACGACACTGCTCCGGCGTCTGGACTCCACTTTTTTTTGGAGGGGGGGAGCTCGGACTGCTTCAGAGCCAGGCTGTGCCGCCGTGCGTTGCTGGTGTTTTTGTTGTTTTGTTTTAATTTGAGGAGGGGGCTGCTTTTAAGAAAGGTGGCTTTCCCCCCAAGTCCTTGCTTTCCTCTTTTTAACTTTCCATCTTGTTTATCTTACCGCGAGGCATTGTTCCCTGCAAGAGTCTAAGTCTTCCCTTTAGTTATAAAAGAAAAGAGAAAAAAAAAAAAAATCTGGCACACACTGGCGCACTATCCACCACCCTGTCATTATTGGTGCAGGCCTGGGAATCCCAGCCGGACCTCCCAGTATTCGCCGCTGCTCCAGGCCAAGGTGCCTCTGAAAGGGTGTTCTTTGAGGCATTTCAGACATGGTCGGAGCGCTTCAAAACACACGTTGCCTCTTTCTCCCGTGGGCGCCGCGGGGGCGGACGCGCGTGGGAGCGCGCGCGTGGGTGCGCCTCGCGAGAAGGAGACGCTGCCGGAAAGAAAAGGAGCGAGAGAGCGAGGAGGGGGAGCATTCCTGAATGGAAGCCTCGCCGGCGAGCAGGCTGCCCCCGACGCCGGGATGCGCGCTCCGGGGTTGCCGACCTGGGTGGTCTCTCGACTTTGGTGAGCTGTTGCTAAGCAGCTAATAATAGTCATGTTTGCTGAGTAATTTCTGCCCTCCGCGAGCCAATCGCGTCGCAGAAACCCAGGCCATCTGACAGCCTCGGGGGCGGGCGCTCCAGCCTTTTTCTCTCGCTCGCTCGCTCCCCCTCCACCCCCTCCCCTCCTCCTCCTCTTTCTCCAAATGGAGAGAGTTCTTTTTTTTCTCCTTCCATCTCATCTATTGAATCAAGGAGCCGCTGCGGCCGCTGCCCGCCGCACACACACACAGCGGAGTCCCCAGGTCCCGGGAGCAGGAGAGGCGCGCTGCGCGGGGGCAGAATGGTGCAGCGGATCGGCGGGGAGCACAAGAAGACAGAGTCCGGGACCGAGCAGCCACCGCGAGCCCAGCAGCCAGAGCCCGAGCAGCAGCAGCAGCAGCTTCAGGAACCGCCACCGCCAGCAGCAGCAGCAGCGGCGGCGCCGGCCCCGGCCCGGCAGCGCTGAGACCCGCCGGGCACCCTCGGACCCCGCGGCGGCGGCCGCTCGCGCAAGCCGGGAGGCGCCGAGAGCCCCGGCGTGGCCGGCGGGAGCGGCGGGGATTCGCTTGCGCTTTCTGCCGTGAAGGGGTCGCGGCGCGGGGCGGGGGGCGGCTAGGGGGAGCTGGGGACAGCGAGGAGCGCCGCGGCAGCGCCCCAAGGACAGGCTCGCTCCGCGCGCCGGCGGCTCTCGCCTCCCGCGAACTGGATGTGGGCAGCGGCGGCCGCAGAGACCTCGGGACCCCCGCGCAATGTGGCAATGGAAGGCGCAGCAGGGTCTGACTCCCCGGCAGCCGCAGCGGCCGCAGCGGCAGCAGCGCCCGCCGTGTGAGCAGCAGCGGAGGCAGCAGCAGCAGCAGCAGCGACAGAAGCAGGTCTGTCAACCGGAGCCCGAGACCGAGCAGCCGGCGGCCAGCAGCGTCCTCGCGAGCCGAGCGCCTGGGCGCGCCGGACCGCCCGGGAAGCCTCGGTGCCCGCGGCGGCGGCGGCGGCGGCAACATGGCCTCGGCTGGTAACGCCGCCGAGCCTCAGGACCGCGGCGGCGGCGGCGGCGGGGCCCTGGGCCGGCCGGCCGGCGGCGGGAGGCGTAGACGGATCGGGGGGCTGCGCCGCGCCGCCGCGCCGGACCGGGACTATCTGCACCGGCCCAGCTACTGCGACGCCGCCTTCGCTCTCGAGCAGATTTCCAAGGTGCATTTCAGATTCTGTTCTCCTCCCACTCTCTCTCTTCCCTCCTCTTCCTCTTGCGGATCTCCCCCGCCATACACGCGCACACACGCACACCCTCTCCAGGAAAAGCAGCAGACAAGTGGGGATTGAAAAATTCAAACCCTCCCTCCCTCCAGTCCTGGGAGGAATTGCTGTCTGCGGTCCGCAGGGGGTGGAGGTGTGTGTGTGAGTGTGTGTGTGTGTGTGTGTGCGCGTGTGCGCGCGCGCGCCCTCCCTGGCTCGCCTCTTCCGGAGCTCCGCACCGCCGCCGCGCGCGGGGGACCACCTCGAGGGCGGCCGCGACCGCGCCCGGCCCCGCGCCCCCTGGCCCCGGAGCGCCCTCCTCTCCGCGCCCCTGCCCCTGTTTGCAGCCCGGAGCCCTGCAGCACTGCCACATTTCCTAACGCCTCGGAGGGGGAGAGGCGGGGTGGAGAGGCGGGGAGAGGAAGGGGGGAGGGAGCCGAAATAAAGGTGGTTTCCTTTCTTGGCAGCCGGTTTTGCTTTTGTTGAGCCCGGAATCTCTGCTCCCTTAAAAGCGGGCTTCGCCAGGGGGACATCCCTCCTCTTCCTCCCTGGCTTGCGAGCCGCCTCCGCCGGGAGCCCGGGGCCGAGACGGGGCGTTGTAAACAGACTGCCACCTTAACTGCGCCGTGCGGGGCGGCCGGGCGGCCGGGCTTATTGTGTTGGCGAGGCTCGCTGCAATGTGTGGAATCCGGGGGCCGGCCGGGGCCCTTGCGCCGGGCACTCGGCTGAGTTGCACGTTTAAGCGTCTGGGAAGGGAAGAGCAGGAGCAGACCGCTGTGGCTGCCCTCTTCCGATCACAAACACTGTCGTAAGTCGCAGATGGCGGCCCCTGCTCCCTCCCTCGGCTCGCACGGCGGCTCCCACACGTGGACCCCCACCGATGCCCGCCCCGAGACGGGGTCGGGACTGGGCATCTCCGAAGCACACCTCCGGAGTGGGGGGCGGAGGTGGGGGAGATGGCCGGAGCCGCGGGGGACCTGGTGTGCCGGGCTCAAACGCTGGCGTGACCGTCCTCTCCCAGGTCTGGGGTGCCGGCGTCTCCCCATCTGCGTGGCAGCCCTTGTCCGAGCCCTGCCCCGGGATGCCGCGCGAACGCGCGTGGGGGGCGCCCCTGCTGCCCCCTTTCCCCACCCGCCGCGGTCCGAATTTGACTTATGACTCCCCCCCACACACACACACCTCGCACCCAGCTCCACGCGGCGCGCGTTCCCCCGGGGGCCCCGCGGGCGAGTGGTGCCCGTGGTTGGGGGGGTTGCGTGGGCGCGCGCGGGCCGTGCGACTCCCTGGCGCTCACTCCCGGCTTCTGCTTCGTCCCCAGGGGAAGGCTACTGGCCGGAAAGCGCCGCTGTGGCTGAGAGCGAAGTTTCAGAGACTCTTATTTAAACTGGGTTGTTACATTCAAAAAAACTGCGGCAAGTTCTTGGTGGTGGGCCTCCTCATTTTCGGGGCCTTCGCGGTGGGATTAAAGGCAGCTAACCTCGAGACCAACGTGGAGGAGCTCTGGGTGGAAGGTAAGAGACCCGCGCCGCCCCGCCGCCGCGTCCCCCTCGCCCGCTGATGAAGATATTGGCGGGCGCACACCTAGAGCCGGTCCGCGGCCGGCGGGAAGCCCCCTGCCCGCCCCCCCGGGGGGGGGGGAGCTGTTGATTGTTTGGGCGCCTGGCGGCTCGCCAGGCCCGCCCGACGGAGGCCGCGCTGCCGTGGACTTGGGGCGCTGCGCCCCTGCTCGCTGTCGTCGCGGCGGGGAGCGGGGCGCGGTGGGTGGGGGCGGCGCGGCCCGGCCCCGCCGCCCCCACCCACCGCGCCCCGAGAGGAGGCAGGGGCTGCGGGCAGAGAGAGGGAGGCCGCGGGGAGGGCGGGCCTGCGGAGGCGGCGGCGTGTGTGGTCCTGTTTTTGGACGGCTTTCAACTCTGGGGGAAAAAAACATTTGTCTCAAGGTACAAAAAAGGGGGGTGGGGTGGGGTGCGGGGAAGGAGCTGAAAAAATAGTAAGGCCCGGACTGGAACGCGTGTTTGCAGGAGACCAGTGTTTGCCTGCGGGTGGGGGCTTGCGCTGGGCACTGGGCGTTATGCTGGGGGCCTGCGTTTTGCCGGCAGGGGGTTCGAATGTGCTTTAAGATTTTGTTTTGAGACTTTCTTTGAAAAGCGACCATGGATTTAAAGTCCATGTTTTTGTTTGCAAAGACATTTTACATTCCTTAGGCCATGCAAGTTTTAATTTAGATTTTTTTCTTTTTTCCTCTCTCCTTTATATTGATATTACTATTATTACTATTATTATCATCTTTTTGGAAAATACAAGCTTTGGTATTGGGGACGTTTGAAGACTACTCTGGGCACCTCTTATAAGGGATTGAGATACTGTAGGATATGTAAATATTTCAGATCAAAGCACCTGGCTCCCTTGTAGAGGACAAGCTGGAGTTACCCTCAGGATGCTGTTGGAAGCTAACCTTGCCCTGTCTGTGAAGGAGCAGTGTGCCCTGTTTTGCAAGCCTACAGTAGAGCGTTTTGCTGAGAAGTGACAATTAAAATAATAGTCCAGATAATGAAGACAGACCAGAAAATATTTGTGCCTTAAGTAGCCTGGTGATTAATACAAAAGTAGACTCCATGGGGTAATTCAACCCCTTGGAGGTCCTTGGTAGATCAAAGGCGGCTTTTACTGAGCACCTATTATGCCCCTAGCAACAAGTGTGCTGAGCGCCTGTGATGTCCTTAGCACTCTGCTGGGCACCATGAGTGTGGGGTGCTGCACAAAGCACTTGCATTGAATTTGGGTTCCCGGTTGAAATGGGCCAGGACAGTAACACGGGAGGAAGAAAATGAACTTAGGTGGAAGTGGAGAGGAGGAGGGAGGCCCAAGACCTAGCAGAGGCCCCAGGACAGCAGCCGGAGGCTGGGTGATCAGCTGCACTGAGGTAGCCCCCAGTGGCTCCCGCAGAGCCAGGGACTGCCCAGCTCGGCCATATGCTCACTTCTACTTGGGTCAGCAAGTAATTTGTTGCCTGTCAGTGGTGACGACAAAAGACTGTCCTGTGTTATTCACAGCCAGGGTTTCCAGTAGGCCCTCAACAGGCTTCAGGAGAGGCAATGCCATTTGCTGTCTTAGCATGGCCTGTTTCTAGAAATAACGATGTGTCTGCCTTACACAACCCATTTCAAGTCCCGCAAGGAGCAGAAGCGTGCTTCTTCCCAGCAGGTCCGCCTGAGCTGCAGCTGGTGGAGTGGGAGGGAGTGAGGGAGTTGAGTTTTCCCCCAGTTGCACCAGCTGAAGACACACCTGGGATGGAGACACACATCCCGGACCCTCCTCTCGGCCTCCTTTCAGCCTTGGCGGCTTCAGCATGTTCACTGGTTCATGTCCCTTGTTGAGTGACTGCCATGTACCAGGCATTTATTTCATTCAGGTATACTATCACGCTATAAAGAAGCTATTGTCTTGGATTTTTGGTGGCATGACAGTTAATATAATGTTCTTACATAGAGTCACTGTTACCCCGATGAAATGCAAAATGCATTGCCTCCTAAAGATCGCATCCCTGTTGTGTTGGCCTTGATCGATGGTTGATGCGCTCACTGGTTCCGTGTTAGATTCTTCCCCCGTAGAAGTAGCAGCAGTTTCGTGAGTGCAAGGAGGCCACCACCCTGTTTTGATCTCAGTATAAAGAGCAGATAACTTTGTAGAGATCTTGCTGGTGATAAGGCCAATGGTGTGTTCAGATCTGCAGTGCGTGGAGTAGTGTAAGCTCGTGCTTTTGGGAGTAAGAATTCCCCTGCTGTCCTAGACCTCAGTCAAGGTCGGTGAACTCAAATGAGTAACAGCTCCAAATTGAGGTTCACCCAGTGCTGCTGTCTCCTAGACAGTTCTCTGATGCTCTCAGCAGACTGGGCTGGTTCTGAGCAGGAACCTTGACACGAACTGGGTGTGTGCTGTGCGGCTACACCAAGTGAGTAGAGGGTGCACGTTTTTCCTAGTTATAACTCAGCCTGGACAGGGTTGTCCTTGAGTCGTTAAAGGGAGAAGGATGCTGGGAGTGTGACTGAAAAAGTGCTCTCCCTCCTGTGATCTAAGAATGATAGATACGTCGGAGGGAACTGCAGAAAGCTAAAAAATAGATTTAAGCCACAACATGTTGAATTCATGCAGTTTTCCTGTGATGTGGCGTCCCGTCTTTGATGGGATTTTTGGAGACCCTTTGTGTGTGTGTGTTGAATTTGGGTTCCCAGTTGAATACATGTGTATGTACATATATGTGTGTGTATATACATACATATCCAGTTAGTTGCTTCTGTGTGTGTGTGTGTGTGTGCATTTGAACTTTCTATATATACCCTTGAATCTGCTAAAATGTTATCGTTCTAGTGCAGCCCGCAAATTGGCTCCATCTTTGATTTGCTTTTCATGCCTTGTTTGACATGCTGGGGAAAGGAGACTTTATAAAGATGGTTTGGACTGCATTAGCCATATGTGCAGCCCAGTTCGCACGAGATAAGAAGGATCCTTTATATACAGCTTCAGGTGTTGGTGATAAGAATAGTTTGATTTTGCTGTTTAAAATCTCCATACAATGATTGCCTTTCAAGAAACTGTCAACTGGGTATTCAATGCCAGGTTGGGTCTTAGGGATTTCATCTCTGCAAGTGAGAACTGACAGAGCTCACCCAGGGGTGGAGTGATGGGGTTTGATGAGGAAGCCGTGCAGTGCCATGGTGGGCTTCTGCTGTTACAGCCACACAGGGTGGCAGCAAGGTGCGCGAAGAGGCTGTCACTTACAAATAAAAATATTCCTTTGGCACTGCACACAGCTGTAGAGAGATGGGTAAAAAAGCTGTAGCAAGGTGGTCACCCAGCAGACTCACTTGCAGGGTTGGTCTCTCTCTCTCACACACACACACACACACACACATGCACACACACACACATGCATGCACACACACCCCGTGGCATTGCCAAAATGACAGAGAAATCCGAATGCCTTCCAGGATGGCTCCGAGGCAGGAGGCCTCAGCCAGCACAGGGATTGGAGGAGTAAGGGTGGGAGGGCACCCAGGGACAAAGCACCCCCCAACCAGCAGAGTAGGAGCGTGACCTCCTGGGGGCTGCCAGCGCCTCCCCTCCCCACTTGCATAGAGTCACTGAGGCTCGGCGGGGATTGGGGGTGGGGGGGCTTGCTCCTGGGTGTGGAAGCCGCCTGTCTAGGGGCTGCGGTTTGTGCTGGTGTGCTTGGGCCTCTGCTGTGCCCTGCCCGGTACCAGTGCCTTGGCCTGGCTCTCTCACCCTTGCAGGCACAGCCAGGAACACACCAATCCATGCCTCCCCCTGCCCTTCCTTCCTCTCTTAGCTTCCCCTTTGTGTCTCTCCTGCTCTCGGCCTCATGTGCACCCCCCACTCCCACCCTGGCCCGAAGCAGGTTGGATGTCAGGGTTCATTTATCTCTTGGAGCTTTTTGTTTTTTCTAAAAGCTGGCCCAGCCCCTGGCCCCCTTTTCTGCAGAGGGTAACAGCCTTGAAATGAATCCATATTGCCTTGGTGTTCGCTTGTGAATGGCTCTGAACACCCGCCTCCGGGGAGGAGAAAGAAGCAAGTTGGGACTTGGATTTTTGTCTTAAAGCAAATTTCTTAAAAAAAAAAATTAGTGTGAGTGCAGTGCTGTGTGCATCCCTTCAGCGTTCATTCACCACCCATGTAGCTTCTCAGTCTTCGCACTGATTGCCACGTGTGGGGTTGGGTGACCCTCGTGGTGGCAGCTGTCCTGGGCCCAGCAGGATGCCGGGTGGCATCCAGGCCCCTACCCACACCACTAGGGGCCAGTAGCACCGTCCTGGTGTGAGGACCAGAGTGTTCCAATCAGGGCCACGTGGTCCTGCAGGAGTGGGGGCAGGCAGCAGGGGGCAGAGCCCAGACCTGCCCCCTCAGAGCCCATCACCAGTTTGGGTGATAAATCGCAGGTGGAAGACACGTGTCGTCATGCAAACCCACAGTGGTGGCGTCGCCAGGGGGTTTCAGTCCATCCCATCTCTAGAGAGAACTGATCCAAGTAACTAAATTTTTCATGCTGATAATTTAAGCGTGCAGTTTTCTTTTTCTTAGAATGACCTTCAAAACAGCAAATAATTTAAAAAAAAAAAGCAACAAACACCATGGGAAGAAGAAAGGTCGCAGAAAACATTTTATATTGGAGCACATGGAGGCGGCGGGGGTGGGTCGCCCATTTCCTGGAGAGACCCTGTTGAACCTCAGCCACGGTAGGCGCAGGGTTTTCAGCAGTGAAGTGACTTTCAAAAGCTGTAAGAGCCACATCGGAATCCAAGGCTTCTTTGCAGAGGCCTGGTAATGTATTAGCTCTGTGGTGTTCTCATCCTGCCTCTGTCACAAA